ATATATATATATATATATATATTTCATATACTATTTGCAGTCAAAAGAAATATATATTAAACACCTTATATTTATTTTCAAAATTTTGAGAGATTTAAATTAATGAAAAGTAAGCATAAGTAGTTGTTGTTTCGTACCCTTTTTTACATTCCGATTTCTGAAATTCCGACTTTCGATTTTTTTAAATTCTTTTGGAACGGAATTGAAATTGGATATAAATTATTGGAAATTCTGATATTCGATTCGATTTTAGTTCCGGATATTTTAATTATTTTTCTATATATACACAATATTTTAATATATTTGTAATATAATTTTATGATATATTGTTTGATTCCATAATATAATTTAGGATATATTTTATAAAAAAAATTAAATATGCAAGGACCAAGTAAACTGATACTCTAGAAAAAAATAGTTGGTAAAAAAAATTCTCATTTTTATATTGTTGTAAAATTTCGAAAAAAACTGATTTTCTTTAATAATGAAATTCCCATAATATTCATATTTGGAATGATAAACTATAAATTAATGTAATTTCTAAAATTTTCGAAATTCCGTTCATCCGAGGCATTTCGAAATCGAGAATGGATTTTTGAATTCCTATTATGTTGGAACAAAAATGTGGGATTCCCAACTTCGAAAAAAACTTTGAAAATTTCTGAAAAAAACTATTTCCGATCCGTTATGTTCGATTTCCACCCTAATTTGAAGTATTAAGTATCAAGATTTAATATGTATTGCAGAAGAATATGAATTCAAAAAAAAAAAAAAAAAAAAAAAAAAAAAGAAGTTGTTACCAATTAAATTTGTTAAAGGGACTAAATTGTTAAGAATCTTTTTTACAACTTTTTAAAATTTTAAATTAAAACTTTGGTGGCCTGTGTTTAGAAAGCAATGATTGAGAGACTCAAATCCCTAAGCATGTTCACTTAATCATTACCTACACATCAACACTCATTTTGCATGTGTCCTCATTTCATCCAACATTAATTAATTAATTAATTAATTAATATTCCCTTTTAATTTTTTATTCTATTTCGTTCCATCGGAATCGAAATTAGTTTTTCACGTCCGAAAAAAATTATTTACTCAGCAAACTTTCATATATACGAGTGTGATCGTTCGTCGATATTCATCAAGTATAACAAGACCCTCGATATATACTATGTCGTCACGAAATAATTCTACAAAAATATGAATTCCTATATCGAGAAACCATGCATAAAGACTTTCTTTTTTTTTTTTTTATTACAAATCAGTTTTGAAATACCTAAAGAAAAGTGAAACTCAGCAAGTTTATGGAGGAAAAATGTTTAAATATACTCTAGAAAGATTCTTTGATAACCCGAAAAACGTGTGTTTAATTAGGATTAATTACGAATTAATCCCATGCTAATGGTACACTTTACGCCTAATTATATTAGATCGTGTAATTTTGAATTAATTAATTAAATTGAGCATGCTGCACGCTCTGCGGCCTGCGCCGCTGGATATTATTCCTTTCTAAAAATACCAAAACAATATTGCTTAAGTTTATTTAGTTTGATTAATTATGTGATGCTGATTTTTTATATTTTTCTGGCACGTTGTCCTCGAATTGGGACCAGAAAAAAAATATTATTTAAATGAGGTTATTAATTTATCAAGATTCTGATGTACTATAATCGCACAATTGTACTAGTAAGTCCAATACATTTAGGAGTTGCGGAGCTTTGGTGCTCGGACCGAAACTTTCTCGAGCTAATAGAAGAACAACAACTCGGTGGGAGGCGCCCATTGGAGATGTTATATTGTTTAATTTTGATGCATCTCTTCACTCGGCTGAAGATGGTTGTGGTTTAGGCGGGTTAGGTCGTTCCTCCGGCAGTCATTGTGTCGCTTGGTTCTCTACATGTTAGAAGCAATATCTAGACCTTAATGAAATCGAAGTTTCTTCTAAAAAAAGTCCAATAAATTTTAGGATTTAATACGCTATTGCACCTTGATTTGAAATATAACCTATATCGTAACAATTACTCCATTTAAAGTATTATTTGTAACACTCAATTACCTTCTCAAACATCAATTATTTTGCATCTTAATTTTAAAAATTTATATATATGTGGGGGTTTGACCATTGAGGAAACATTGCCCAGGGGTGAAAATTGAAGCAAAATTTTCTGAATTCTGCAATTTCAGTCTATGTTCCAAATTGCACAATATTTTTTTTTAATTCTTAATTTTTTAAGTTTTTATTTTGACTTTTCTCATATTATTTGGAACGGAATTTGAATATATGTTAGATTCTAAATGCAACCCGATTATAAATTTCAAAAATATTACCAAACTCTACGCTTTAAATTCCAATATTATTATATATTGTACATTAGAGATAATTGAAAATTTGGATCTTTTGAATTTCTCCAAATTCGATGTGAAATTTTTCGGTTTTGGAACAATTTTTTCATTCTAATTTTCACTTTTCCACATTTTCTTGAACAAAATGTTTATATATATATATATATATATATATATATATATATATATATATACTAATTTCGATATGATCCATCTGATTTTCGCCCCTTTCCCTACCAACCCCATCAATCCCACCTCTGCATTAATCATTGTACGATTATTATTATGACTACCAATCCCACCTTCGCATTAATCATGGACTTAGCTTGACAATGATTTTAGTTTAAAATCTATTTCTCTATCCAATTCTCTCATTTAAGTGAATACATATACATATTATTTGATTTTATATATTAGTATATTGATTCACAATTATTATAATTTATTCATGTCAGTAAATATAATTTTGGGTAAATTACAAAAACCCCCATAAAGTTAGGTTGAAGTATAAAAAAAGTACCCCCACTTATTCGTAATTATCAAAATTCCTCCAACGTTTGTTTTAGTCTTACACAGTGTGATTTTGCACGTGATCATTTTTTTTTTAGAAAATATTTCCCAAAATATGCCGATTATAACCCTAAGAGCAGCCTCGTAAATGTAGGTGGCCGGCCTTCATATACCTTCTACAATAACTTATTTTTCTTCAACATCATATTGCAATGTTAGTATTCGGTTGCTAATATGAACCATCATAGAATAATATCTCGGCATTTTTCCGGGAATATTTCCTAGAATCAGAAAAATTACATAACAATCACACCGTAAGAAGGTCGGATGAAGACAAAAATAGAAATCGATAGTATTTTGGTGATTACAGATAGGTTAGATATGAGTATTTTTTTTTTTTATATTTTTGCCTAAAAATCTAAAATATTCCATAGCTAAAAATCCCTTTATTGAAGATGCTCTTGTTGTGTTTATCCTATAATTGATGTCATAAATTAGAGGAAAGTGACAAGTGAACTTGAATAGGTAAAATATCAGGTTATTATTGATAATAAAAAAATTGAAATTAAAATTAAAATTAAATAAAAATAAAAATATTAGAATTCAATTTTAGGAGCTCAAAACTAGGCAAGAAACAGTCCTAATTAAAAAAAAAATCATGTCTGAAATTTCTGATCACTGCCAAATATAATAATTATTATTATTTCCATCATTAATTTTTTTTTGCTTTGTTGCTCTCTTTCTATTGAAAAAGATATTTTGCCTTGGGTCCCTCTAATCATTTTAGTGCCAAAAGAATATTTAAAAGTAGTCAATTTTTCAATTTTAATTTCGTCAAACTACGTGAGTATTAACCTAAGATCTGCTAATATAAATATTAATACCCATATATTAATATATACACAAATACAGTTAAATATTTATAAATTAATACAGTTGAGATTAGCAAAACTTTGTTAATTTAGTGAAATATCAAATCATCGAGTTAATAATTTAGCACAGTGTCACCAAATCAGAACCGAGAGAAAGTATTAAGCAAAACTATTAATTTATCTATGTTCTAGTGTAATTAATATTTTAAGTAAAATTTGTTGTAAATACCAAAACTATTCAATTTCAAATAGTCATGATGCTACTATATTCAAATTTATGTCAAGCTTTGATATGATTTGCCTTTTGTCAAATTGTCGTTGCAGATAATTACATCAAATGATTTCACGGTCAACCAAAGTCAAAATTGACTGTCAATTTATTTTCCTAGTGGCTCTCCACTCTCACTATTTTTTTGCTTTAATTTATTTATGAATTGAATTAAGTAAAGTCAATAAATTATTTTGGCCTCGAATGTCAACATTAGATAACTTATACAACCTATACAAGTTATAACTTATAACACATAATATTAATACTTTGCCAATTTATATATTCAGAGATATATTTTACATTTTTATTCATTAACTTCTGTTTCATTTTTCTTTTATCACAACTTCTATCTTCTATAATTTTTAAATCTAATAATTTGTCATTTAGATTGCAATAACAGCGGATTACGATTGCTAATCCGATACCGGACTCTGAATCTATTTACATTTTCATCTTTATAGTGTCAAATTGAATAAAATCTTATAGATTTCGTGAAATGTTCTCTAGTTTGGATTCGTGAAATGTCTCCTCTAATCCATTTTGCACCACCTGTCGCACTCAACCCGAAACCACGACACATGCATTGATTTATTGCAGGGGATTAACTGAAGTTTGGCTGAATCATCCGTTCGATCTTGATGTGGCAACCGAACCAGCCAACTTCCGAAACTGGCTTGAATGGTTACAAAGGAAACTTTTGAAGGAGCTTTTTTGCCTAGCAATGGTTATTTGCTGGAAAGCTTGGGATGCAAGGAACCGCGAAGCTCATGGAGAGGAGGGGATGAGAGGTCGAGAATTGTGGAGCTGGAGCAAAAATTATCTTGACATTTTTCGATCCGCTAGCACCGTTCCAACTATTCTCAAGAACCCTCCTCCTCGGGTGCATTGGATCCCTCCACCGGACGGAACTATCAAGGTCAATTTTGACGCCGCACTACCACCATCCCTTCCACACTACAGGGTTGCTATGGTTGCCAGAGACTTCAAGGGAATCGCTATTTGGTGGAGTGTTGACATGTTCCTGGGAACAGTGCAAGCCGTAGAAGGAGAAGCTCACGCCGCACTTAAAGCAATCCAAAAATCAAAGACCAAGGGTTGGGCATCGGTTATAATAGAAGGGGACTGCCGGCAGCTCATTTCGGCAATTGATGATGAAGACTCTACCTTATGTCCTATTGGTGCATATGTAGAAGATATCAGGGCACTTATGTTATCTTTCAATTCTTGTCAATTTTCTTTTGTTCCTCGCAATTGTAATAAGCTTGCGCATGCTCTTGCGAACTCTATAGAGCTTGCTAACTTGGAGGGTCCGATCCTCCCCCTTAAAGTGGCACATATTGCCTAATAAGATCTCGTCTTTTCCTCAAAAAAAAAATTACCAAATTTTTAATTTCCGACGACGGGAGTCTCAAACAATAGTACAAAGCCGTACAAAATTTCCACCCTGGCATCTCTCACCTTTTTTGACATTTTTTATTACAATATGGGAGAAAATAATAAATAAATAAAATAAGGAAAAAAAAAAAGAAAAAAGAAAAAAGCAAGGAATATTTAGCTGATCCCACTCTAAACATTTGATTAAAATTAATAAACTCTATATATATTATATATATAAATATATAATATAATAATTTTAGCTATCTTTTTGGCGTGAGCCGAGGCGTGGCTAAAAGGCTAAAGTGTGAGAAAATGATGATGATGATAACAACGTCACTTCACTCCACTTATATTATTCATTTTTTGGATTAATTATTTACTTCTAATTAAATTTATTTTTTTAATATTTTTGACTTATTCATTAATAGCTTTAAATAGTTTTGATATAATTTTTTATATGAGGTGGAATTTTATTTGAATGATATTCTTTCAATTTGCAAAAGCTAAACTTAATTATGCCATGTGTTGGTGATTTTATGCATGAGTTAGATTTTAAAAAGTTATGGTTGAAAACTTGAAATCAATTTGGATGATTAAATGAAAGTTTAATTTATATTCAAAAATTCCAATTTTGGATTTTGTCTCCCACTATTACATGATCATTACTCATTCGGATTGTTTACACAATAATGATATGACTCAGATAGTGTTTGCAAGAACTTATTTAAAAACATAAGTTAGTAATTGTTGAATTAAGTTGAAATTAAATATTTATTTCTGAAAATTGGAAACTGATTATTATGAGTTTTTCTTCTTCTTTTGTTGGTAATGTGCTTTTTAATGTTTGTAACACAAATTTTTGTTTCTAATACTATTAAAAAAAAAAAAAAAAAAAAAAAAAAGCAGTTTTAAGTCATAATCTGAAAATCACATTTAAAGTTGCTTCTCTAATTTAAAAGTGCCTCTTTAACTAACTAAAACATGACATTTTACATTTTCACCCTCACATTCCTTATCCAGACTTAACATATTAGGGCTATTTTATTTATATATTTTAACAAAATAAACTAAAAGTTCAAATTTATTTACAAACACACCAACTTTTCAATTAAATATTTAAAATTAATTTTTCTTCTTATTTACAAACACCTCCAATTTCTGAAAATTAGTATCAGTTTGAAACCTTATTCCTTTTAACTTTATGAAAGTTTTTACAAGCACTTCTGTTAAAACTAATGAATTATGAACATAGTAGAATGTTTTATGTGTATTTTTCTCAATAGAGGTATGGATATTTATTCACAAAATAATAAGCTAAACAAGGAAACCTAATCAAATCAATTCCGAAATTACATTCTAATCAAATCTCATAATTATGGTACTCGTATATATTAATATCTACTTATATCTCATAATTATGGTACTAATATATCTTAACATCCCCCTCAAACTCAAGTTGGGTCAACATAGACCAAATTTGTGAATAAATGTGTTGAACTGATTGAGTGAATGCACTTTAGTAAAAAGATTAGCGATCGGAGCAGTGAAATTTGACAAACAAAAATTTAAGCTCGACAAATAAAAAAAGGGCATAAAAATAATTCTCTAGAACTCCCCCTTAAATTAGAGAAGTATGCGGTAGACAACTCGACAAATCACGATCACAAAATAGAGAATTTCACCATAAGAAATAATGTAACGTTTAATTCAAAGGAATTTGATAACAAACCCTCCAATAATACTCGCAAGAAATGCCTAACACGTTTGTCAATTGTCATACATCGATTTCAATGTAGAAAATCATTCTAAATTTCATTATATACATGGAAGTTCACTTACCATTAAATTTCATTTTTTTTTTTTTTAACTTATTTCCACTTGCGATCTCTGATTTGAGCGTCGAATGGCAATCGTCAAGCTATCTCGGTCCAGTCATCCAGTGTTTCCATTTATTTTGAAAGTTAATAGATTCGTTTACTCTTCGTTTACTCTCTCAAACACGTGATAATGACTTTCAATATTCTCTACTTACATTGGCTTAATGACTTCAAAAATTGCTTAACGAGATAAAATGTGAAAATAAAAAAAAAATACTTAAAAATTGCTTTAGAATAATAGAAAATTCTCTTGAAATGATTTTTTTTGTCCTTTTATATGTAAAGAAAAGAATGGAATATTCGGGACCCCTTCATCTAGAATATATGAAGGGGGGAATAATAAATATATATATATATATATATATATATTTGTCACACTGACATGATTCATCATTAATCCCACTTCCAATCTTCCCAACTGTCTACTTGTCCAAATTCTTCTTTATGTATTTTTTACATAGTCAATTTTCTTACTCTTTCTCCACCAGACAAACTCACCTTAACACCACACTGTCTTCATTTTACCAATTTGCCCTCAACTGTTTTTTTTTTTTCATTTCTATTTTCATTTAATTTTTCTCTGGTAAGGTTTTATGGGGTTAAACCCAATACTCCATTTTAAATATTTTTATTCGTTTTAGAGTTTCAAATATGATAAAAAGAAAAGGTAAATTACGGCCACAGGTAAAATCAAATTACAAAACTTCCTCATTTTTGGTAATTATAATTATCCCTTCGACTACGAATTTTCTTACACAACATTTCTTTCGGTGTCAAATTTAGTGGAATTTTCTTGATTATGTTGAATATTCTTCAGTTTGTACCGTTTTATCTCATTCGAGCTTCATATTTTGAACAAGATGATCATAAAATGTGTCTCTTGATTTATAAATATGAGATTATAGTGTATCTGAAACTACCTTTTGATTTCCATCATTTTCGAAACATAGTAAATGCATTACTGAATTATTTTGACTTCCCAAGAGTATTAAATGCATCATCAATAAATTACCAATAAATTGGAGTTAGTTAACATGACACGAACCTCCAAGCAGAAAATCCAACTCTTTTGTCTAATGTTTAATTCAAGCAAAATGATAATTTTATGTTACCCATACATACCATTTGTTTACTCCTAAATAAGTTTGGGTAGAGACGTTGTAGAGTACAGTAGAATCTTGATAAATTAATAATGTCGATGAAATAATATTTTTTTATGTCCTGATTCGATAAAAAAAACATACTAAATTATTAGTTCTTTAGTTTAATATTACATTAAATTAATAGAATTCTTTTAGTTTTCACCGTACTAATTTATAGAAGTTTAACTGAAAATGTACAAAATATTTATCTTGAAGAATTTATAGCACATGTAATGTTTGTGGGGTGATTTATTGCGTGAAGCCAATGACAAATATTAAATTTCTCCGCGTAGACCCTTTAGCCCTATGTTGTCTCCGTCATCAGGCATTAGAAGAGTCCCTCTTCAAAATGAACCATTAAGTAGTGGGGTTGGTAGGTTGGAATGTAAGAAGAAAATCCATCTAATTGCTTAATTTATCCACTTTTAGTATGATTAGCTTTCATAACTTTGAAATGTTTTAGTGATTTGAATAAAATGTCAAGTGCCTATGTCCAATTTATTGTGCTAATATTTAAAATCTTTAATCAAATAAACTAATTAGTAAGTGCTTTATGCAATACAAAATTTTATTTGACTATGTCCACTTGATAACTTGATATGGATCACTAGTACTATTCATCAGGTGCGGTCAAAAACATCGGGTGATTATCAACCGTTGATCTGCATATAAGTACACACGCACTGATATGTATGTGTGTTTAGTGGATGATTATTTAACCACACTAGTGGTTGAAAATCGCCTGATGTATGTAATCAGGTGTAGCATTTCAATAACTAATCAGGCACGTGCCATTTAAGACAATTATTGTCTTAATAACAAAAAATATATTTTTATTATCATTAGATGTTATTAATTAAATCCAAAATAAAAGAATGAAGAAACAATAGTGAATTAAATTCATGAAAGCAGCTAAATTTCTATTAGGGGATATAATTGGAAAATTACAAAAAAAAGTTTATACACTTCCAAATCATATCTTTTAAGCCCCACCACTAAGGGGGAAGAAAAGAGGATTTGTTTTGTTTGTAGCACACATTTTATGGCATTTGATTTCACACACAAAAATGGTAGTAACGTGTCAATTTCATGTTCTTCCTAAATCCATATAACTAAATGTTTTCACATTACTTTAATATTTTGTTACACATTGAAAAGTACCAACATACCCTTTTAAATTGAAAAAAATATTAAATTATAATTGTTGATACAACCATAAAATTATCATATTGTATATACATTGGGGTTGCATTGATAGTGATATCGAAATTTATGATTATTATCGTGTATTAAACGTAACTCATAGTAAATAATTAAATAAAAACTCATGCCATTATCGTACTAAGAACAACGGTATACCAACGTTTAATATATCGTTACTTTTGGTACTACTCCGTGATATATGCTACTCTACTGTTATCTTATATTAAATTGTAATTAAAAAAAATTGTTGTTGTCCTTCACACCAATGAATTTTGTAATATATGAATTTATATTATGTAGATGTCTTTATTATATTTGTTGAGTTAAATATTCATCTAACTAAATTTATTTATATGTGTTTGGTTATTAAAGGCAATATATTACGTATAAAAGAACAAAAGAATACATTTAATTGATACAATATAAGAAAACTTACACGTAATAACAAAGTATTATTTCTCAAAAAAAAAAATAACAAAGTATTAGAAAAAAAAAAAAACTTATAATTGTTATGTTATAAAAAAGAATTAAATAAAATGCTTAGGTATTGTACTGTAAAGTATTACCATGACATTGGGAATGTAATACCATTACTAGAGTATCGAATGATATGATAATCACAACTTTGGTATTTTTTCGATAATATTCGATTGGTAAAACATGATACTCAACAAATTGGTAACTCTTTTGCACCTATAATAGAAAGTAATGTACCAAAAACTCGACTGCGAAAGTGTTAGCAGAAAGATTCGAATTCGAATTGTTAAAAGTCATGATCTAAAATTCAACCAAGCTATAAAATGCGGGGATGTATACAGGGCCGGGGTAGAGTAATTGAGAAATTTTGAAAATGACTAAAATGGACACAAATTCCCGATTCCTTACCGAACTCCATTGGGGAGAGAGACTCGGATACTACTAGACTAAATCTTTAATTAGTTGGTAAGTAATTAAGACATGTTTATGTTCGTCATTACGAAAAATAAGCAAATAAAAAAAAACAAAAAAAAAAAAAAACTAGAGAATAAATTGTATATAAATCCGTTGGGGTAACTGAGCTTGTGTCAATTATATTGAACAAACTCTTAGTAACGGTTGTCGAACGTATCACACATGGTTAGCCTACTGTAGTACTGTTTACATCTTTCGTATGATTTGCAAGCTAAATTAGTTAGCTGCGAGTTCCTTATTTTTTTGTAACCACTATTGAAGTATAAATTTAAAATATGCGCAATATATAACTCATTATCTAATTTTATTTATAACGTTATGGTTTCCCTAAATGAAATCAAATATCTTAAAGACATAATTGATTTTGCTTTAAAAAAATAATTGAAACAATAATTTTATATTGCAATTTGTAATGATACTAATTTAGAATTGAGAATGGGAAACATTATTCATTACCCCTAGCCCAACACAAGGGACCGAAAGCAAGGTCATTTCCGTCAATTCATACATTCGGATTTTGTTCCTTAAAACTCGCGAAGAATTTTACCTCATTCCCCACCCCCACTCCCCACCCCCTATGTTTCTGAAACATACAGAAATTATATAAAAATGTATATTATATATACACCCGCATAACTGTATCTATCTGTATGTATATAAAATATATATATAACTGTATGTATATATACAGACCATTTGACATTGAGTACCAAATGTCTGTTAACTCTTTCTTCTCCCGTCGAGTATATTAAATACTCCGGGTTCAGCTTTGGATTCCCATTCGAAAATCGAAGCTCCATTTTTTTCTGCAATGGCGAGGAAAATGAGATTCTCCTCTCTCTCCTTGTTTGCGGTAAGTTGTCGGAGACTTTTCTTTCAGGTGTTTTCCGATGCCGTCTCAGAACTCTCTCTCTCTCTCTCTCTGTGTTTCTGCCGTTGAAATTGAAGGAAATTTTTGGTGGAAATTTGATGTGCGGGATTTTTCTCAGGTTTTATTTGCGGCGGCGGCGGTGGCGGCGGTGGTGAATTCGGAGCGGTCTGATACGAGGTTTCTGCTCACCGATAATTCCACTGGAGGGTAAAATGATAATTTCACTTTTGAACTTCATATTTTTTGCTTCTATATATATATACGTGTGTGTGTGTGTGTGATTTTTTTGGTTGTTTTGAATTTATTTCTAAGGAATTGAGTGTTTATGTAATTAAATAATGATTCTGGATTCATGATTTTATATATTTTGTGAGCAAGTTCAGTTGAATTTAGCAAAAAAAAAAAAAAAAAAAAGAGTTCGATTTTACGAATTTCCGAGTTGATCTCGAATTGCAGCTATGGTGGAAAAAAAAACTAGAATAAATCGATCTTCATCTATTTTTCAGACAAAAACATTCCGAAGAGTACTGTGCTATGTACAACATTTGCGGAGCGCGCAGCGATGGGAAAGTACTAAATTGCCCTCTTGGTTCTCCCTCGGTCACGGTATGATCTAGTGTAGTGTGCTGCAGCCCCCGGCTTAATTCAAAATTTCGATTATTTATTTCGTGTTCGTAATTCCGATTTTTTTGTCTGCTTACAGCCCGACGAGTTGCTATCGGAGAAGATTCAGAGTTTGTGCCCAACAATTACCGGAAACGTATGTTGTACCGAGGCGCAGTTCAATACATTACGAACTCAAGTCCAGCAAGTAAGACAAGTTAAAAAAACTTCGATTTTCCGATTTATCGTCTATTTTATTTTTTTTAATTAATTGATAATTTTGTAATTTTTTTGCAGGCAATTCCGTTTCTTGTGGGTTGTCCGGCATGCTTGAGAAATTTCTTGAATCTATTCTGCGAGCTTACGTGTTCGCCTAACCAGAGTCAATTTATTAACGTGACTTCGATTTCGAAGGTTCGTTGTTCAACTCAACCACTCTTTACGATTACCGATATAATATACAGTTAAACATCTATAAATTAATACAGTCGGGACTAGCAAAATTCTATTAATTTAGCGAAATATTAAATTATCGAACTAATAATTTAGTTGGTTTTTACCGAGTCGGGACCAGAAGAAACTATTTTTTAAGCGAGGTTATTAATTTATCGAGGTTCTACTGTACAGGCTAAGGGAAATTTGACAGTTGACGGAATAGATTTTTATATAACCGACGCTTTTGGGGAGGGAATGTTCGAATCGTGCAAAGAAGTGAAATTTGGTACTATGAATACTCGAGCCATAGAATTCATCGGTGCCGGTGCTAAAAATTTCAGAGGTGAGGAAAAAAACGAAGCGATTATTTTACCTTTTAAAATGTGCAACTTTACGATACGTATTTTGTTTTTCCTTTTTGTTGTTATGGCAGAGTGGTATGCGTTTATCGGAAGACGGGCCGGGCTTGGTGTACCGGGATCACCGTATTCGATCAATTTCTTGTCGGGTGTTCCGGAATCTTCCGGAATGAAACCTATGAACGTGTCCACGTATTCGTGCGGTGACACTTCCTTGGGATGCTCGTGTGGCGATTGTCCGAATTCGGCGGTTTGTTCTAATTCTGCTTCTCCTGCGCCTCCGAAGAAAAGTTCATGTTCAGTCAGAATAGGGTCTATAAAGGCGAGATTTAAAAAAAAAAATTTAAATTAATGCACATGCTTGATTTTTTTTTTTTTTTTTTTTTTGTAAATGAGATGTGGGATCTTGATAATTGATTTTTCGGGTTTTGATAATTGCAGGCGAAATGCGTTGAAGTGGCCGTGGCGATACTGTACGTTGTACTCGTCTCTGTATTTCTCGGGTGGGGTTTCTTCTACAAGAAGAGGAAAACGAGCCCTGTATCTAGAACAAAACCGTTAGTTAATGTACCCAATGGTGGCATCATTCGGCGTGTTAACAGTCGAAAAGACGAAAATATCCCTATGCAGGTAAGTGCGCCTATATGAACCTCCGAAGATATATTCTATTAAAGTTACATTTTAGGAATAACTTTTTTTTCGGTTGGTCGAAATGACACGAAAAATTTGTAATTTTTTTAATTTAATGAATTTTTTTTTATTTTCTTGATTTTCAGATGCTCGAGGATGTTCCGCAAATTACGAACGGAGTACAGCTTTCGATTGTGCAAGGATATATGTCGAAGTTCTACAGGTTATTTACGTCATTGCTTTTAAATTCATTTCACAACCACGCAAATTTTTTTATTTATTTTTTATTTAGTTGATTTATTAATATGGTCGATCGAATGTCTCGTTTCAGGAGATACGGAACATGGGTAGCTAGAAATCCCGTTCTCGTACTGTGCTCGTCAGTTGGTATCGTACTTGTGCTTTGCTTAGGTCTCGTACGTTTTCAAGTCGAGACGAGGCCCGAGAAGGTATAATACATAAGGATCTTTAAATTCGTTATCGATTATCGTTAAAAAAAAATTAGACGACTTTTTTTTATGTTATAAATTTTTACAGTTATGGGTGGGGCCCGGAAGCAGAGCTGCCAAAGAGAAGCAATTCTTCGACACTCATCTCTCACCCTTTTACAGAATCGAACAGGTAAATGCATTAGTTAATTATTTCGCATCCTTGCTCGAACGTAACTCCGATTAAAAATGTATTCTTGATTTTTTTTTTTTTTTTTTTTTTTTTTTTACAGCTCATAATAGCAACAATTCCGGATACGCATGGGAAAGCACCGAGCATCGTGACGGATAGTAGTATCAGTTTATTATTTGATATACAAAAAAAGGTAAAAAGACGTGCCTCGAATTTTGTGCTGTTTCGGATTTATAATCGGATTTTAAAATTCAGAGAGGTTTTTAATTTTTATTAATCGTTGTAGGTCGATGCCATCAGAGCTAATTATTCTGGTTCGATGGTATCTCTTACTGACATTTGCTTGAAGCCACTTGGCAATGATTGTGCCACTCAAAGTATTCTTCAGGTACGATTGTTCGTTTCAAAGATCTCGTATATATATATATATATATATATTTATATATATATAATGAACTTCTGTATAACTATTTCTTATTTACTTTGCGATAGTATTTCAAGATGGATCCTCAAAACTATGACAGCTTCGGTGGTCTGGATCACGTCGAATACTGTTTTCAGGTATTTTCAGCGGTTTACATCTGTGTGTGTATATATATATACAATTAAACCTCTATAAATTAATACAGTCGGGACTGACAAAATTCTATTAATTTAGCGAAATATTAAATTATCGAGCTAACAATTTAGTACGTTTTTACCGACTAGGGACCGTGATAGATACCGATTAAGGAAATAGAGATAAACACTAAAACTACAATAAAAGATAAAACAAAAGTAGATTTAATGCAAGAATCTTAAACATAAAATCCACCAAGTAGGTTGTCCGTATGGAGAGGACAATGCTCCAGAATTTCACACAGAATACTCATTCAAATCCCCCTAAAAACTAACAAGGAAAAACTATTTATATAAAACTAACATTAACTTCCTAATAACTAAATAGAAACTGCTCCTCTGGAGCAGTTATGGATATGGCTTATCCTTATCCATATTATTCAAATCTCCTGGAATTGTATCAGACCGTAAGAAATTATTATTTAAACGAGGTTATTAATTTATCGAATATATCGAGGTTCTACTGTATGTATGTATATAATATCCAATTTTTTGAAATTTATGCTCGCCTTTTATAGCATTATACGTCAGCAGAAACATGCAGCAGTGCATTTAAAGCCCCACTCGAACCAAGCACTGCTCTTGGTGGTTTCTCCGGGAATAACTATTTGGAGGTAATTTTTGTGCCGTTATTTAGTCGATTATTCGTGTATGAAATATTCACATAAATACAAATGTTTTTTTTTTCGAACAGGCGTCTGCATTCATTGTGACTTATCCCGTGAACAACGAAATCGACAAAGAAGGGAACGGTACGAAAAGGGCAGTGGCATGGGAGAAAGCCTTCATTCAGCTGGCAAAGGTTCGTTTCACTATTTGTTCTCGTATTGATCTATTAATTGGAAATAGATCTTGGCCTATTTATATCGAGTCTAATATGTTCCAATAATCTAAATATTTCAAGAGCGTTCAGCTTCGAATATGCAGTGTTATTTTCGTAATATTTTTAATCATTACTTATGTCAGCTTTTAACTGCTGCTGAACTCATTTGCAGGACGAGCTCTTACCGTTGGTCCAGTCTAGAAATTTAACACTTTCATTTTCGTCGGAAAGCTCTGTCGAGGAAGAATTAAAAAGAGAAAGTACTGCCGATGCTATCACTATTTTGGTACGAAGAATCTCTCTCTCTCTCTCTCTCTCTCTCTCTCTCTCTCTCTCTCTCTCATCAATGTATCTTTTGGTTTCAGATAAGCTATCTTGTAATGTTTGCTTACATATCATTGACTCTTGGAGACACGTCTCGTTTGTCCACATGCTATATCTCCTCTAAGGTATGGTTTCATATAAAAAGCCTATTTTTTTGCATGCACATTGAAATTATTTCCGATGATGACTGAACGTATGTTCACACTGCGTTGTTCTTGTACTCTCATCCAATTTTACCTAACGGGTGATTGCATTCCGGATTTTCTTTCGTATAAATTAAGTTTCTCCGTAAAAAAACATGAAAATATTTTTTTAAATAATCATTCTCATTATTTGTTAATATCGTACGTTTGACTTTGCAGGTATTGCTTGGCCTATCGGGAGTTATGCTCGTTATGCTTTCCGTACTTGCGTCTGTCGGATTTTTCAGTGCAGTTGGAATGAAATCAACACTAATAATAATGGAAGTCATCCCTTTTCTCGTTTTGGCCGTAAGTTCCATCTTTCAAGAATGCTTAAACTACATCTTCTTGATTTTTTACGAGCCCTTTTTTTTTTCCTTAATAATTAATTTAAAGTAATAGTGGTACACGTTCAAGGGAATATTCGATTCCAATCAGATGCCTTTCGGGCTTCTGCATGCATTATATGTAGTTGAAATGAAAAATTCCCATATCGTAATTATTTATATATTCCCACTCGTGTTCGACTTCAGAAGAAATAGACTACATAGTGCCTGCAGTTTTCTGCTTTTGCTCAAGATAGTAACTGTGAACATAAGTTACACTTATGCCTCGTTTGGTTGGCAAGATTAGTCACAATTAATTAGAGGGTAAATTACAACCACACCCCTGAGGTACGGTAAAATTACGAAAACCCTCTTCCTGTTTGGGTAATTACAACAACCGCCCTCAATTATAAATTTTCTTACACGTCCACCCTTGCGGTTTCTAATTTACTGGAATCTTCTTGATTATATGGAATATTATCACTTTTGTACCCGTTTTATCCCATTCGAGCTCCACGTTTTGAAGCAAGATAGATGATCATTAGATGTGTTTTTTGGCTTGTATATATGAGATTGTGGTGCATCAGAAACTGTATTTTTACACAAAACGAGTACAAATTAGAGCACATTCCACGAAATCTAGATGATTATGTTGAATTTGACACCATAAGGGTGATGGTGTAAGAAAATTCACAGTTGAGGGGGTAGATGTAATTACCCAAATAAGAAGGGTTTTTTCGTAATTTAACCATACCTCAGGGGTGGTTGTAATTTACCCTTAATTAAATAATTGGACCTTATCGGGTATTTGGTTAATCCAATAACTTTTCGAGCCAGCCCGCAAAAAAAATGACTCTAATCTCTGCTAAATGGTAGATTATTATCGGATGTTCCTATCGTAGGAGCCAAAGAGGCCTTAGTGATTTGATTGGTTTTGTTCCGTGTTTGTCAGGTTGGGGTGGACAACATGTGCATACTTGTTCATGCAGTAAAGAGACAACAAGTGGAACTGCCGATCGAGGGAAGAATTAGTAACGCACTTGTAGAAGTGGGGCCCTCTATTACACTAGCTAGTCTATCCGAGGTTTTGGCATTCGCAGTCGGAAGCTTCATTCCTATGCCAGCCTGTCGCGTCTTCTCCATGTTTGCCGCACTAGCGGTCCTCTTGGATTTTCTTCTTCAAGTTACGGCATTTGTCGCCTTGATCGTCTTTGACTTTTTGAGAGCCGAGGGTAATCGAGTTGACTGTTTCCCTTGCGTCAAAGTATCTGGTTCGAATGGAGAGTCGGAGCAAGGTACTACATTCTTTTTTCATAATTTATTGTGATAATTTTTTTTGGGTAAATTACTACCACCCCTGAAGTATGGTCAAACTGCGAAACCCCCCCTCATGTTTGGGGTAATTACAACCACCCCTCAACTATATATATTCTTACACGTCCACCCTTGCGGTTTCAAATTTAGTGGAATCTTCTAAATTATATGGAATATTCTCAATTTTGGACCCGTTTTTATCCCATTCGAGCTCCACATTTTGAAGCTAGATGATTATAAGATGTGTTTTTTGTCTTGTATATATTAGATTGTGGTGCATCAGAAACTGTATTTTTGCACAAAACGAGTACAAACTAGAGAACATTCCGCACGGAATCTAGATGATTATGTTGAATTTGACACCATAAGGGTGGAGATGTAAGAAGATTCATAGTTGAGGGGTAGATGTAATTATCCAAACATGAGGGGGTTTTTCGTAAATTGACCATACATCAGGGGTGGCCGTAATTTACCCTTTTTTTATTACAATGAAAGCACAAATCTAACACAAAAATCACTTGTGAAATCGTAGGCAGTCATCAACAGAAACCCGGACTTCTAGCTCGATATATGAAGGTAATAGCATATTAATTTTGAAATTTGGTTTATGCATAAGCTTTATAATTATTTTATTTACTCATTATAACTAATTATTTATTTATTTTTTTAATCCAGGAAATTCACGCTCCGATTCTGAACATTTGGGGTGTAAAACTGCTCGTTATCTGTGCATTCGGTGCATTTACATTGGCAAGCATTGTAAGTTGTTTCGCGACATATTTTGCATTATTTAATTCGGAACTTCGAATTAATTTTTTTCTCCGTTGATCCGTGAAGGCACTGTGTTCAAGAATCGAACCTGGTTTAGAACAGCAAATCGTTCTTCCTCGAGACTCGTATCTTCAGGTCTTAATAGCATTTTTTTTTCTTTTTTCGTCTTTCTTCGGAAGCTTGATGCTTATAAATGTTTTGTTTCATGCAGGGGTACTTTAATAATATCTCGGAATATCTTAAAATCGGTCCGCCGCTCTATTTTGTGGTTCAAAACTACAATTTCAGGTATTCGGATTTGAGTTCGGTTTCGGAATATCTTATCTAATAAGTTTCTAATCGTGCTTATGTTTCCCGTTTCCTCAGCTCCGAATCAAGACAAACAAATCAGCTCTGTTCGATCAGCCGGTGTGACTCTAATTCTCTTTTAAACGAGGTAAAATTATTATTATTAAAAAAAAAAAAAAAATTGGACTCCGATTATGTGTAATTTGCTACGCTTTATGTATAAAAAATATTGAATTTTGTGCAGATTGCAAGAGCATCTTTAGTACCGGAATCGAGTTATATAGCTAAACCGGCAGCTTCATGGCTCGACGATTTTCTAGTTTGGCTATCTCCTGAAGCGTTTGGTTGTTGTCGGAAATTCGCGAATGGGGGCTATTGCCCGCCCGATGATCAGGTCTCCATATACACATTTGTGTAATTTAGAGAAAATATTGCACATTTAATTCGTTTTTTGAGAAAATATTGCTACAAAAATAAAATAATAATAATTAAAAAAAAAGGGTATCGTCGAAAAATAGGAAGGATTTTTCGTTTTTCAGATCTAACAGAATATTTATTTTTTCAGCCGCCTTGTTGTTCATCTACTGGTGGTTCGTGTGGACTCAGCTCAGTGTGCCAAGACTGTACAACGGTAACTTTAATTTATTACAACCTCGTATACTAATCCAACTTAATTTTTTTCGTTATAATTTTGATTTATTAGAAATTAGTGACTAATATTTGCAATAAATTTTTTTTTATTACAGTGTTTTCGACACTCGGATTTACAAAACGACCGGCCATCAACAGCACAATTCAAGGAAAAGCTGCCGTGGTTCCTCAGTGCTTTACCCTCTGCTGACTGTGCAAAAGCTGGAAACGGGACGTATACCGGCAATGTTGAGCTCAAAGGTCGAGATATTTTATTAATCTATATATATATATATATATATATATATATATTATTTATTCTTAATTGATGAAAATATTTTCCATTTTGTCGATAGGCTTTGAGGACGGAATTATTCATGCATCAGCATTTCGGACATATCACACACCCCTTAATAAACAGGTATATCGTATTTATTTATTTCTTCGAAATTTTTACGATATTTTATTAATTTCATTCGTATGAATATCTTTCAATTTTATTGTTTTCAGGCTGACTATGTCAACTCAATGAGAGCTGCGCGTGAGTTCAGTTCTAGGATGTCTGAATCTTTACAGGTAATTTGTTCTCGAGAAAAAAATGTACTTGTAATGTAAATATATATATATATATATATATATATATATATATATATATATATATATATATATATATATATATATATATATAAAGAGGATATTATATTTCTCTCTTTTCGCATATTGAAATATTTCCGCACGCTGTATATTATACGTTCTTCGAGCAGTACCTTAACATATGGAAGACAGCTATGATCAACCTTGCTATTGCTATTGGTTAGTTTATTCTGCTTTTCAATTCAATTTTGATGTGCGATTTTCACTATATTGTAAGTTTCTTTAAAAAAAAATCACTTATTTATTTTAATTATTATAACTCGACAGGCGCGGTATTCGTTGTTTGCTTAGTTATCACATGCAGGTCAGTAGTTTTATTCTCAGCTAATTTACAACCTTATTTATTTCCTTTCGTCGAAATGATTAAATTACTTATTACTTATTTATAAATATTAAATTAATTTTTAATTTAATTCCGGGTTTTCGTTTCTTTTTCATGGTTAGTTTCTGGACTTCGGCGATAATTCTACTTGTTTTGACAATGATTGTCGTGGATCTTTTGGTACGTGTTCGTTCTTGCTTACGTTTTTTTTTTTTTTTTTTTTTTTTAAATTAAAAGTTTGATTTTTTCGAAACTTATTTTAATTTATTGAATGCCACTCTTTCAGGGGATAATGGCTTTATTAAATATCCAGCTGAACGCGCTCTCGGTTGTGAACCTTGTTATGTCAGTGGGTATTGCGGTTGAGTTCTGTGTCCATATTACGCATGCTTTCTTGGTAATAATTTATGTTTCTCGTCTTAATTAAGATATTGTGTTAATGTAATATGATGGTATTTAACAGTCGACGTATTTTATGTGTTTATTATGACAGGTGACTAGCGGAGATAGGAATCAACGGATGAAGGAAGCTTTGACAACAATGGGGGCTTCTGTATTTAGGTTCGTTTTCTTCCCGTCTCTCTCTCTCTCTCTCTCTCTCTCTCTCTCTCTCTCTCTCTCTCATTTCAAAAGCTCTCATCACTTTATGATTGCAGTGGAATCACCCTCACGAAGCTAGTTGGAGTGCTCGTTCTTTGCTTTTCGAGGACAGAAGTTTTTGTGGTATATAAACTGATCTTGCACTCTTAAAATTCTACACATTGAAATCGCAACTCGTTTTTTTTATGATGTCATAATTCGATTTGCAGGTTTACTATTTCAAAATGTATCTTGCATTGGTGCTTCTCGGTTTCTTGCACGGGCTAGTCTTTTTACCTGTAAGATTCCACGCTCCCTTTTCTAATTCAATGTTTTTTTTTTCTCGTATTTCATATAAATAATTATATCACGTACATAAATTATTTCATTCGTCGTCTTTTGAATATTGAGTGACGATTCTTGATTTTAACTCGGTTTTTGCAGGTACTATTGAGCATGTTTGGTCCACCATCGAGGTGTGTGCTCATAGAGAAGCAAGAAGATCGACCATCGACGTCATCACAATTTTAATTTAATTGTGATGCATCGGAAAAATTATTTATTTAATTAATTTTTTTTCCTTTTTTTTATTTATTTTGGGTAGGTAACACAGTTTTCTTCTCCTTTTGGTGGGAAATTATTTTATTAGGTAGTTAGTTATTGCATGTACAAATAGTAGGATGAGAGAACTAAGTGGTCCAATTGTAAAGTTTATTTATATTGTTCCCTTTTTGTAGTGTAAGAGATGAAACAAAATATTTGTGTACTTGTAATTTTAATTTAATATCACTTCATTTAAGGAGAAATCCTGTTTTTTGTTAATTGAGTGTTTGATTATAATTCTTGTAAGTGTAAATCTTCTGGTTCTAGTGAATTGTTCTCTTTTTATATAGCAAATGTAGGTTTGTGGTAATACAGATCGAACCACTATAAATATGCGTTGTCTACTGTTTTATTGCTTTCATTTGATATGTGCAACTGTTTCTAATTGTTTATGTTTACTCTGTGATTGTTGGTTCAACTGTTGCAACAATTCGTAGTGTCTGTTTGGTTTTAATTGTTTCGTGGCTTAAATTCACAACAATTGGCGCGTCTATGGGAAGATCTAAGCCACACAAATGGAATCGATCAAGTTTAAGGTGGAAAATTTCTCTGGATCTAGTGATTTTGGTCTTCGGAAAATGAAGATAAGAGCTACATTGGTACGATAAAAAATGGTTTTACTCAAAAGCCCAGTATTCTAAATGGGAATTTCTTGATTCCTAGATCTCTCGATTCAAAAAATCAAGATAAGATAATAGGATCGAACCATTTCTTCCAACTCCGTCAAACTAGTAAGTGACGAGTTACATATGAAAATGTTGATGATAAAACGGTATTCATAAAAATGGAACCGTATTTATCAAGTCCCAGGTGGCAACTATAGTTGATAAATTGATAAATGATTCATTCATAGCCATTGTTTACAGGTTTATCTAATGCTACACTCGATAAACTTTACTAGATTATATCATATTATATATGTAAATAAGTAATTGTGTGTAAATCAAATACCCAAAATTATCTGATATATTTCATCCGGTGTAATAGGAGACTTCATTTTGAAACATAAAACTCTATTTAAACATCTTTAAAGGCTTTAATTAAATAATTAATGTTTGATTATAATTTTAAAATAATTAGATTAGTCAAATCAGTTTTCCAAATTACCCCTCGGGGTGAATGAACGAACCTATAAATTCCTACTTAATTGAAAAAAAATAATAAAAAAAAAAATGTGTTCTGTTCACACAATTGATTGAGCGCCCAGTTTTTTGAAAACCTCCAGCCTTCATCGTTCCCTCGCTCGCTCTCCCTCTCACGCCGACCACCGTCGCCGGCGTAGCGAATCTCGAATCTGCGCTTCTACGGTGAGTTTCTCTCCATTTTCCTGCAATTACATTTCCACTCTTCTCCAATTTCTCTTCATCTGCTTTCTCTTTCACTAATCAGCCGTAGAAATCGTTATTCGTATGATTGTTCGAACAATTTTTCTTCGTGCTTGTTGCTGTTTTTCTCTCCGGCGATTTTACTGTATGCGATGTCGATTGAATCGCATTTGATTTTATTTCGAGAATTTTCAATAACTCGGAGGAAAAATTGAATGACGATAGATTTTTTTTAATTTTTAATTATGCAATCGCTCCTGTATTTTCAGCGATTTTTGAGAGATTTGAAACCTGTAACGGATAAAATTAGAACAGAATTTAATCAGGAAAGTATATGATTCAGATTCAGTAGAGCTTTGTGATTGAAATATTTGGGAATTGCAACCTTTTGTTGTTATTATTAATAACAAACCAAATGTTTGATGAACTTCCTCTTGTTATCAATTCGATCGGAATTGTTTGAAATTGATGAGATTAGATCTGAAATTTCCTCATATTGATCTATTAATTTCCATCTCCATTCGATTTTAGAAAAGTCTATAACGTTATCTCGAAGGATTGACAGACAATGTGTGGCTGTATGTTTTGTTATTTTATTTTTTATTTTTAGAATTAGTTCAATTTATGGATTTTGACTTCTCATCAAATCTCAAAAGAAAATATCACTAGATCTAAAGTTAATTTGCTTATCCTTTTCGATGAAAATCTATTTTCGTCGCTGAATTTACTGGAAGAACTCTTGACCTGAAACATGATTCTGATTGGTTGATGAGAATATATACTGATTGTTTTGCGATAGCTATGCATAATTGTACTTGTGCATCATACGTTTGATGGCTCATTTACACTTGTTATTGCACAACGAACAGGCTATGGCTGGTTCAGAAATGTATCAAGTTACGAGTGCTACCAGAAAACCTAGGATTCTGCTTGCTGCATGTGGAAGTGTGGCTGCGATTAAATTTGCTCACATTTGTCACAGCTTTTCCGAGTGGACAGAAGTGAATGCAGTTGCTACTCCAGCATCGCTTCGTTTTATTGACAGAGCATCGCTTCCCAAGAATGTCTATCTCTACACAGATGAGGAAGAATGGTCCAGCTGGAACAAAGTAGGCGACAAGGTGCTGCATATCGAGCTCTGTAGATGGGCTGATATTATGGTCATTGCACCTTTGTCCGCAAACACACTTGCAAAGGTAATTTTTACTTATTAGCTTTATAATCGCTATTTTTGTATCATTTAGGAATGGGATGGTTGCATAACATGCTACTCACATTGAACATATAAGTGGATCTGAAATAATTTAAGCTTGTAGTTGTTTTTCTTTGATTTTGACGTACGAATTTGCTGATTTGCCATGGCTTTCCTTTGTACAAAATTAACTGTTCTCTGTCGTATACTACACAATCTTTGCCATTTATGATGATTCCTCTGTGTAGAATAATGGATTACTACACAATCAAATCCACTGTATTCTTTTTATAACAATAATTTTGCCGGCATATTCTACTTGTCTCCCTAAAGATTTCTGCATCAAGTAATTAATTCTAGGCTGGATTTCAAAGAGGGGGTGGGGGGGAGGGTGGGTGGTTCACTACGAATTCATTAGCTAACATCGACATTTCATCCTATTGTTAGGAATCGTGTGAGGTATAATATAGCCCATACAGCATTCATATTGGGCATAAAATTGAATTTGGAAGCCTCATACGAAATAACTGTTCTTTCTGCTATAACTGAGCATGGTTTGATGGAACTATGATTAGTTTTATTTTTTATTTTGATTTTTTTTTTAAATACAATTCTTGGTTTTCTGTAAGTAGATTGCTGGGCGATTGTGCGATAATTTGCTGACCTGTATTGGCATGGTCTTCCTTCACTCAAAATTAACTGTTCTTTCTGATAAACTACACAATCTTAGCTTAGGTAATGATTCCTCAGTATAAACTAATTGGAGACTGCACAATCAAATCCACTGTATCTGTTTATAACAAAATAATAATGCTGGTATATTCTACTAGATTCCCTAAATATTGCTGTTTCAAGTAATTAATTGTAGTCCAGATTCTACGCGGGGGTGGGGTAACTGTTTACTGCAAAATCATTATCTAATTTTGTCATTTCATCGTATTGTTAGGAATGCATGTGCTGTATAATATAGAACTCACATTGACGGTAAAAATTGGATTCGAAAGCCTAACACTTGAACTTTAACATCATTTAAGCTTGTAGATATTTTTCGTCGGACTTTGATGTAAGTATTTACCAATTTGCCACGGCCTTCCTTTATACAAAAGTACCTGTTCTTTCTGCTAGACCAACACAATCTTTGCTTCGTTAATGATTCCTCAGTATAAGAACAATGTAACGTTACACGATCAAAATATCACATCCACTATATCCTTTTACAACAATTTTTTTGCTGGTAATAAGCTAGATTTCACATGGGGACTGTTCAGCTACATCACATATCATTAGGAATGAATGCATGTTTTACATAATATAGCCTCGTATGAACAATAACTGTTTCTTTCTGCTATTATTGAGCATGGTTTGATTGAACTACAAATTTTTAAAAAAAAATAAAAAATAAAAAAATCTAATTATTGGTTTTTTTCTTGCAAGTAGATTGCTGGAGGGTTGTGCGATAACTTGCTGACATGCATTGTCCGAGCGTGGGATTACAGCAAACCGATGTTTGTGGCACCTGCTATGAATGATCTGATGTGGACCAACCCTTTCACCGAGCGTAACTTAATGGTGATTGATGAGCTTGGAACTGATCTTATCCGACCAGTTACAGACAGGACCACTGTCGTTTTCGGAAGTGGTGCAATGGCTGAGACTAAGGACATTTATTCAGCAGTGAGACTTTTCTACGAGACCAAGAAACAATCGGGTGGTAATAACTAGTGAGTGAGAGAGATCTATGAATTAGTTGTAATAATTCTTGTCGATAAAACGAAAAATTGAAAACTATTGTAGTAGTAGAAGTAGTATCAAGTCTCTGGCTTGTACAGATGATGAGCAAATGTGCAGTTCCGTTCGATAGAGTTTGTGGTTCATTTTTAGCTCTGTTTCTCTTACTTTCCAACTCGTGGAGATTTCCGTGCTTGTGTTGCTACTTGAGGATCTAACTGTTCGTTCGATGTGGGATATTTTCGAAACTCGTATTGTGTTCCGGAATTAATAATGACTATTACTCTTTGACCATAATTCGCAATTAGCATGAGTAGTGTTATTGACATTTATTTATTTTCTTGCTTTTACTTGTATGCTAGTTACTGTATCTTATTAAGAGCATCAGAGTGTATCTAAAATTCTAAACCATGTGAAATCCTTTGCATTTAGCATGAAATGAAATTGGTGCAGGGAGGGACTAAGTGTATTAGATGATTTTTTGGAATTACAATATTTATAGCGAAATTTTCTTAGTGAAAATTACCAAAAACCCCTGACCTAATGTCTAATTACCAAAACGACCCTCATAATTTAGTGGACCATGTTTTCCTAAGGGTTTACTATTCATAATGCATTTTTATACCATCATCATTTGTTGAGAAATCCTTTAACTTTTTCCAAATCTTCTCAACCACAAAATTTTAAGACTTTTAAAATCGTTAATTTTTTTTCCTATAGTATCAGTTACAACACAACAATTATCAATATGGCTGACAACGATTCCGACATTGAGGTAAAAAAAACATGTTTTGGTTGAATTTCGACATTTTTTAAAGCATTATGTGTAGGAATACACGGATGAACAACATAATTTGTTTTTACGTACTTTCGTGTAGAATTGTACGAAGTGCGAAGTATTATTCCGTACTATTCTATACGAAACGACCAAAAAACAAAATATGTTGCTCATTTTGTGCACGTTTACACGAAATTCATTGTGTAATTTCGTGTATTCCTTCGCGAAATGCATAATATCTTTTTTTTTCAAGTATCAAACTAGTTTATCTTTCTTTAATGCAGCAACAAGAAGAAGGAAACAACTTGTATTTTGATCCTGTTGTTTTGGAGCCGCACGAATTTGAAGATTACACTCACTTCTTCAAAGTTGATCTTGTATTCGATAGTAGGGAAGAATTAGTTAAGTGGGCGAAAGAAACTGCAGTTAATCATTCTCATCGAATGATTTATCAGTCTAAAAGGGACAATAGACATCATTTGACATGTGAAAAATACGGACATGGTCAACAAACGAATATCAACGTGGAAAATCCAAGAAATACTGGATCAAAGAAATGTGATTGTCTGTTCAAATTAATTGTTAAACAATCAATGTTTGATGAATTATGGCGGTTGACTGTTAGTGATGGCATAACATAAGCAACACGGAAGAAAAACTTAGGTTATGTTTGTTAAGCTTTTCAAATTCTTTCCACATTTTCCCCAAAATGAAAATTATCTTTCTACACTATTTTCAAAAACTTTCCCCAAAACAAATTCAAATATTTCTCTCTCTAACAAACATGATTTGACCGCTACAGTGAAAATTGTCTTCACTAAAATACAAAATCAAATCACTTTATCTTTTAAATTCTTCTTCCAAAATACCTTTTTCCAACACCTTTCAGACATGATTTGACTTGCTACAGTACAAATTGTCTCCTCCCAAAACACAAACAAACTTTATTTAATTTTCAAATTCTTCTCCCAAAACATCTTTCCCCAAAATAAAATGGAAATGGAAGCCCAAAAGCTTACCAAACACAGCCTTAGTAGTTTAAAAAAAATTGATTTAGAAAAACTCATTAAAATGAAAATTGTTTCAACTATCACAATAAAATAAGAGAAAAAATAATGTGAGCATGTATGAACTAATATATAAAAAAAGTATTTTAATTATTTTGCTCTTGTTTTTATATTCTTATTCATTTAATTTTTTGAAATAATTGTATTTCATCATTCATATATACATTCATATATACACAATCAGAGTATTAATTTTTGTACTTACTTAATTTTACGTATTTTTTATTTATTTATTTTTAATTATCATATATAACTTTATTTTTTTAATTATAAATTTACATAATAAGTAAATCATACATTATCACGTGCAACACACGTAGTGCTTGCTAGTTCATAAAATGTTTGAATAGAAATGGACGGATTGTTATGATAGCCTCTAAATCGGCCTCTGTACGGTCTCATTCATCCCTCGTCTGAAGTTATTATGATATCCCTCTTAATCAACCTTTAACGGAGATTACTATGTCCGTTATGGTCAAATGGTGTTATTTTTTTTAATAATTATTTAAACTGGGATGGGTGATTTTTGTGTAATTTTCAGACTTAGATTAAAAGGTGTTATTGTCAAAAGTCTGAAAACTAACGGTGATGACCACGAGACAATTTCAAGTACAAAGGGGGCAAATCGATGAAATTAAGAGTAGAACGGGGTAAAGTGATATCGAACCAAAGTACAAGGGATGAAAGTGAAATTTACCCTTTATTTTGTACCCCAAAAACAATCCCTAAAACACAATTTCATTTCTGATCTCCCTCTCTCCGTTCTGATCATTCCCAACTGAGGTAGTTATTTTTTTTTTTAATTTTTTTTATGTATTAATGTTTAGTCAATTTTGATTATTATGCTTCGAATTGCTGTAATTTCAAGTTCTATTTCCAAATGGGTAATATGGTATGAGCCCCTCAAACGAAATCTAATTTGAACTAAGGGTCCATTTGATATACACCCCTAGAATGAAACATATATAGGGATAGGTCTACCCCTAAAATTCTTCCTTTAAGATACCCCTGGAGAGGTAAAAGTACAGTTGTGCCCTTAAATGCAATTTTCGCCCAACTGCATTCAGTATTTTTGCCCCTGCATTCTGAATAATGCCAAACTGCATTTAGCATTTTGGGGCTGCATTTAACATTTTTATAGATTTTTTTAATAAAAAATATAAATATTTATTTTATTATTTTTTTTTTATATATACCCTATATTGTATTTTTTAATTTTTTATTAATTTTTAATTTTTAATTTTTTTTGATAAATTTACTGTGTTGAAATTGACTACACATGATTATAGTGTACCACAGTCATGTATAATTATAGTAATCATATACTGTTTTTTTTACCCCAAAATTAATCTACACCAACAACAAAATTCACAATTTTAATATTGATATAATAAATCAACTAATCCAAAAAAAAATGAAAAAAATACAATCACGTGCATATAATCTACAAAACATGAACTATACATCAAAACACACATAACATACATATACCTATATATTACTACACGTGACTATAGTTATATACAATTATCTATAGTTATATAAGTGTCATAAGTCTGGAGTACTGTAGCATGAAAGCAACTTCACATGACACTTCTCTGCATCTCATAATGTTATACAAAGCAAAACCTGTACAAAAAAAATTCAAGTTAAAGAAAACGAAGAACAAATTGGAACAAGCGAATTTCCATACATGAAAAAATACTAAGTAACAATGAAAGACAATTTTCTGATAAATTTACTTTGGTGAACTATATAAAGTAGGGGCGGGCATTCGGGTCGGGTCGGGTTATTCGGGTTTTTTGCAAAAAACAAACCCGAGATAACCCGGGTACCCGGAGATAACCCGGGTACCCGGTTATTTCGGGTCGGGTTCGGGTCGGGTTCGGGTTTTGCTATTTTCCTCTTTTTTTTTTTTTTTTTTTTTTTTGTTTATTATTTAATACTTCTAATTCTAAATGTGACATCACACTTTATAAAATATCAATTAGATGTTGCTTTACTTGGGCTACAAATACGAGAAGTAAAACATATTGTTATATACACACATTCATAAAAACAAAAGTATTGCTAAATTTATTACACAAAACAATTAATCATCAATGTTGTCAAAACCGGACCGGACAGCCGGTCCGACCGGTTCGTTCACGACCCGCCAAAAATACGGTCTGATTCAACCACACAAACTGGAAAATTCATTAACCGGGGCCAGTACGTCGAAAACCCTGTTCGACCGGAAAACCCAATAGACCCGGGAACCAGTTAAAGAACCGGGTTTTAGGCTAAAACGATGGTAGATGGCCGAATTTGCGCGGAGGATCACCGTGGTGGTCGGATCTGGGCGGGGGATTGCCTTGGACGGTCGGATCTAGGTCGTAGGTAGAGGTGAACAAATGGCCCGCCCGGCCCGCCCGCGGCCCATGAACACCGGCCCGTCTGGCCCACGGGCTCAGCCCACCCGGCCTACCATTTTCACGGGCCGGCCCGCCCGGCCCATGGAGGAAAACCATGAGCTCAGCCCGGCCCTTTAGCCCATTTTTCCGTATTTTGACGGGCCCAACGGGCCCAAGGCAAAAAATTAAAAAAAAAAATTTAAAAATTATATAATTATATAGAATGAGTTTATAAATTATAAAATTATTTAAAATTATTTTATAAGTAAGATACATATTTATTAAAGTATTTTTTGATATTTTATTAGTATAAATAAAAATAAACTCATAAAACTAACAGAAGTGAAATAACAGGAAAACAAACATAAGCAAAATATTTTATAAGTTTATAGAATCAAATGTAACATAAACAAAGTAACAGAAGCAAAAATAGAAAAATAAAATTAAGGAAAAGTTACAGAAGGAAGTATAGGAAAATTACAAGGAATTTTTTTTCAAGTTCTTGATTCTTTTTTCCTTTCATTATGCTCTTCAAATTGTCCTTTAGAATTCTTCAAACTAATCTTCAAATTTGTTGTAGTTGGCCTTCAATAACCTTCACCGCTAAATTCCCCACGTATGTCATATTCATCGGGACTATCGTCATCTTTGCCTTGGTTGTTTTGTTGTTGACTCCGTTCTTGATTTCGTAATTCGGCTTCAATCCAATCTTGCGTGCAAACCAACGCCTCCACATTTCTTGGTGATAGTCTATTTCTCTCGGCAGTTAAAATTTTTCCACCTGCACTAAAAGCCGCCTCCGATGCTACCGTGGACACCGGAGTGTTTAGTAGATCACGTGCCATCATAGAAACAACAGGATAATGGTGAGCATTTTCTTGCCACCACTTCAAAATATCTAAGGATTCATATTCTTCCGGGGTGTTATGGTAACTTCGAAATTCTAAATAACGAACTAGTTCATTAGTTCCACTACTACGTACATCATCTTCCTCTAACAAGCTCCAAGTAGATTTGCGATTTTTTTTTGAACTAGATTGGCTAGAAGATGAAATTGAAATGTTTGTACCAAAAACCTTCTTATACTCCTCGTACAAGCTATACAATAATTTTTCAACTTCCTCGTATTTTCTCATTGCGGTGCCGGCTACTTTCGATGGGGACAATTCGGAACACATGTGTGTATAGTATCCTTTGAGTAAAGTTTGTAACTTTCTAAGTTTAACTCTAGGATCCATAACTATAGCAAGCAAAGATAATAGTGGGATATCTTCATAATACTTAATATATTTATCTTCCATTTCGACTACCTCTAGCCCAAAAGCCTTGTCTTTTCTATAGTTTGCTATACTTTGACTAAGTTGCCACAATTCTATAGGTAACATGTTAGAAGTGGGATACAACGTACCGGAACAATTTAGTGTTGCTTTATACCAAGGTTCTAACATGTCTTTAATTCTTGCCGCTATAGCCCAATCATCTTCAATACAAATTGTAGTAATTTTTTGGGCTTTATAAAATTCTATAACGGGATCCTTTAATTCTAAAGCCCTACCAAGCATCAAATAAGTAGAATTCCACCTAATATCATCATCATTAATCGGCCTCTTAAATTTAACACCATATGCTTTACATAATTCTTTAAATAAATACATTCTTTGTCCGGATTGTCTAATATAGCATACCGAATTTCTCACTTTCGAAATCGAAGGAGAAAGTACCTTAAGACAATCGTGAACACCCAAATTAAAAATATGACAAGCGCATTTAACATGAAAAAGTTTACCATCTAAAGGAGGTTTAATATGTCTAAGTAGTTGTAATAACTAGTGAGTGAGTAATAACTAGTGAGTGAGAGAGATCTATGAATTAGTTGTAATAATTCTTGTCGATAAAACGAAAAATTGAAAACTAGTGTAGTAGTAGAAGTAGTATCAAGTCTCTGGCTTGTACAGATGATGAGCAAATGTGCAGTTCCGTTCGATAGAGTTTGTGGTTCATTTTTAGCTCTGTTTCTCTTACTTTCCAACTCGTGGAGATTTCCGTGCTTGTGTTGCTACTTGAGGATCTAACTGTTCGTTCGATGTGGGATATTTTCGAAACTCGTATTGTGTTCCGGAATTAATAATGACTATTACTCTTTGACCATAATTCGCAATTAGCATGAGTAGTGTTATTGACATTTATTTATTTTCTTGCTTTTACTTGTATGCTAGTTACTGTATCTTATTAAGAGCATCAGAGTGTATCTAAAATTCTAAACCATGTGAAATCCTTTGCATTTAGCATGAAATGAAATTGGTGCAGGGAGGGACTAAGTGTATTAGATGATTTTTTGGAATTACAATATTTATAGCGAAATTTTCTTAGTGAAAATTACCAAAAACCCCTGACCTAATGTCTAATTACCAAAACGACCCTCATAATTTAGTGGACCATGTTTTCCTAAGGGTTTACTATTCATAATGCATTTTTATACCATCATCATTTGTTGAGAAATCCTTTAACTTTTTCCAAATCTTCTCAACCACAAAATTTTAAGACTTTTAAAATCGTTAATTTTTTTTCCTATAGTATCAGTTACAACACAACAATTATCAATATGGCTGACAACGATTCCGACATTGAGGTAAAAAAAACATGTTTTGGTTGAATTTCGACATTTTTTAAAGCATTATGTGTAGGAATACACGGATGAACAACATAATTTGTTTTTACGTACTTTCGTGTAGAATTGTACGAAGTGCGAAGTATTATTCCGTACTATTCTATACGAAACGACCAAAAAACAAAATATGTTGCTCATTTTGTGCACGTTTACACGAAATTCATTGTGTAATTTCGTGTATTCCTTCGCGAAATGCATAATATCTTTTTTTTTTCAAGTATCAAACTAGTTTATTTTTCTTTAATGCAGCAACAAGAAGAAGGAAACAACTTGTATTTTGATCCTGTTGTTTTGGAGCCGCACGAATTTGAAGATTACACTCACTTCTTCAAAGTTGATCTTGTATTCGATAGTAGGGAAGAATTAGTTAAGTGGGAGAAAGAAACTGCAGTTAATCATTCTCATCGAATGATTTATCAGTCTAAAAGGGACAATAGACATCATTTGACGTGTGAAAAATACGGACATGGTCAACAAACGAATATCGACGTGGAAAATCCAAGAAATACTGGATCAAAGAAATGTGATTGTCTGTTCAAATTAATTGTTAAACAATCAATGTTTGATGAATTATGGCGGTTGACTGTTAGTGATGGCATAACATAAGCAACACGGAAGAAAAACTTAGTAGTTTAAAAAAAAATTGATTTAGAAAAACTCATTAAAATGAAAATTGTTTCAACTATCACCATAATATAATAGAAAAAATAATGTGAGCATGTATGAACTAATATATAAAAAAAGTATTTTAATTATTTTGCTCTTCTTTTTATATTCTTATTCATTTAATTTTACGTATTTTTTATTTATTTATTTTTAATTATCATATATAACTTTATTTTTTTAATTATAAATTTATATAATAAGTAAATCATACATTATCACGTGCAACACACGTAGTGCTTGCTAGTTCATAAAATGTTTGAATAGAAATGGACGGATTGTTATGATAGCCTCTAAATCGGCCTCTGTACGGTCTCATTCATCCCTCGTCTGAAGTTATTATGATATCCCTCTTAATCAACCTTTAACGGAGATTACTATGTCCGTTATGGTCAAAGGTCAAATGGTGTTATTTTTTTTAATAATTATTTAAACTGGGATGGGTGGTTTTTGTGTAATTTTCAGACTTAGATTAAAGGGTGTTATGGTCAAAAGTCTGAAAACTAACGGTGATGGCCACGAGACAATTTTTCAAGTACAAAGGGGGCAAATCGATGAAATTGAGAGTAGAACGGGGTAAAGTGATATCGAACCAAAGTACAAGAGATGAAAGTGAAATTTACCCTTTATTTTGTACCCCAAAAACAATCCCTAAAACACAATTTCATTTCTGATCTCCCTCTCTCCGTTCTGATCATTCCCAACTGAGGTAGTTATTTTTTTTTTATTTTTTTTATGTATTAATGTTTAGTCAATTTTGATTATTATGCTTCGAATTGCTGTAATTTCAAGTTCTATTTCCAAATGGGTAATATGCTATGAGCCCCTCAAACGAAATCTAATTTGAACTAAGGGTCCATTTGATATACACCCCTAGAATGAAACATATATAGGGATAGGTCTACCCCTAAAATTCTTCCTTTAAGATACCCCTGGAGAGGTAAAAGTACAGTTGTGCCCTTAAATGCAATTTTCGCCCAACTGCATTCAGTATTTTTGCCCCTGCATTCTGAATAATGCCAAACTGCATTTAGCATTTTGGGGCTGCATTTAACATTTTTATAGATTTTTTTAATAAAAAATATAAATATTTATTTTATTATTTTTTTTTTATATATACCCTATATTGTATTTTTTAATTTTTTATTAATTTTTAATTTTTAATTTTTTTTGATAAATTTACTGTGTTGAAATTGACTACACATGATTATAGTGTACCACAGTCATGTATAATTATAGTAATCATATACTGTTTTTTTTACCCCAAAATTAATCTACACCAACAACAAAATTCACAATTTTAATATTGATATAATAAATCAACTAATCCAAAAAAAAATGAAAAAAATACAATCACGTGCATATATTCTACAAAACATGAACTATACATCAAAACACACATAACTACATATACCTATATATTACTACACGTGACAATAGTTATATACAATTATCTATAGTTATATAAGTGTCATAAGTCTGGAGTACTGTAGCATGAAAGCAACTTCACATGACACTTCTCTGCATCTCATAATGTTATACAAAGCAAAACCTGTACAAAAAAAATACAAGTTAAAGAAAACGAAGAACAAATTGGAACAAGCGAATTACAATACATGAAAAAATACAAAGAAACAATGAAAGACAATTTTCTGATAAATTTACTTTGGTGAACTATATAAAGTAGGGGCGGGCATTCGGGTCGGGTCGGGTCGGGTTATTCGGGTTTTTTGCAAAAAACAAATTACCCGAACCCGACCAGAGATAACCCGGGTACCCGGTTATTTCGGGTCGGGTTCGGGTCGGGTTCGGGTTTTGCTATTTTTCTCTTTTTTTTTTTGTTTTTTTTCTCTAATAATTATTTAATACTTCTAATTCTAAATGTGACATCACACTTTATAAAATATCAATTAGATGTTGCTTTACTTGGGCTACAAATACGGGAAGTAAAACATATTTTTATATACACATTCATAAAAACAAAAGTATTGCTAAATTTATTACACAAAACAATTAATCATCAATGTTGTCAGAACCGGACCGGACGGCCGGTCCGTTCACGACCCGCCAAAAATACGGTCTGATTCAACCACACAAACCGGAAAATTCATTAACCGGGGCCAGTACGTCAAAAACCCGGTTCGACCGGAAAATCCAAGAGACCCGGGAACCAGTTAAAAAACCGGGTTTTAGGCTAAAACGATGGTAGATGGCTGGATTTGCGCGGAGGATCACCGTGGTGGTCGGATCTGGGCGGGGGATTGCCTTGGACGGTCGGATCTAGGTCGTAGGTGATTCCATCGAGTTGTGAATGGCTAGATCTGTGGGTTGAAGAAAAAACAAAACCGAGCAAAAAAGATGAATAAGTGAAGCGTGAAGATGAGGAAGGTGATGTTTTCTCTGCACATGGAGAAAATGGAGGAAAAGAAAAAAAAAATAAAAAAAATAAATAAGGAAAGGGATTGGGGCGTGGAGGTTGCAGAACGAAGAAGATGAAAGAAAAGTTGGGAGTGGGGTAGGTGAGTGAAGAGGTAAGAAGGGAAAATAAATTAAAAAATGGTATATTAAAATTGAATTAAAAATACTGGAGTAAAGGTGAAATAAACAGGAAGAATATCATAAAAAACTCACAGAGAATAATATTTTTATATTTATCAAAATAATAAAATAATTAAAAAATAAAAATAATAAAAAACCCGGGTTGACCCTGGTTGAACTGGTCCAACCGTGATCCAAAACCTTACCTGGTATTGTGTCCGGTCCGGTTCTGATAACATTATTAATCACAAAAACATAAAAAAAAAAAAAAATACAAACAAACAAATAGTGACCAATTTTACATAAAATATACATATTACATACATACATACATATACATATACATACACACAGACGTGTGCGTATGTGTATATATATATATATATATATATATATATATATATATATATATATATATATATATC